TGAATAGTTAGTGGAATTGTTTCTGTTTATGAAACAAGACTTGCAGGAGAAGGTGAAATAAAACTTTATCACACATTGCATGGATGTCTTTTCCCCATCTCGCTTTAGAGAATCACTTCACCCGTATGGGAATCATCATTTTGCATTGCTCTTGGTCACTGGAGATCTTCCATTCGTTTTGTGTATGTTTCTGAGGAATCTGGCTTTCTAACTCGTTGCCATTCCCTGTACTTCTTGCTTGACCTTCGGCATTGTCATAGCCAGCAGGCCAAGTCTCTGACCCAGATGTGGGGGATGTGATAGAAAGGCAGGGAAGAAAGTACTTTCCATCTCTAGTAGGACTTTTTGCTGCATAATCCTTCATGATTTTTTTCCAACATAAATGATGTATAAGGTAAAAGCCTGAACTTTGAAAACAAACAAAGGAAGCCCGAATTTCTAGCTTTATTGGTAACCCTCTTTGCCTAGTACTTTGGACTTTGGGGGCTGCTAAACCTGAAATTTCCATTCTTCTCCAAAGTTAATGAAGAAATGTGATGAGTCTTTGTATCAGAGCAATGGGTAGGTAAAAGCTAATATACAAACCCTGTAAAACATGCTCTAAGGTCTGAACACTGCAGCATTATTAACCATTGACCCAGCTCTACTCTCTCGTTGCCATTTCGCTGTAGTGGAGCAGCATGTTCCTCAATTGCAATGGCATTAAATTCTGGGACTATGACCCATGGGCACTGGAACCAGCACTGCAGGGTCTGTGAAACCTGGTGTGCAAAGGGATTACTTTGTACAGCAAGCTGAGGCCACTTTGCACCTGAATAAGAGCTACCCGGTGGGGTTTAACATGCTTTAATTTCTGTAAGAGCTTACACCTTTATTTCAGTTTCTTAACTTTTTCATTTTTCCACCTGTAGTGAAACTCTCAGAGAGCATTTGTTAGGGTGTAAATATAGGCAAACCTGAAGTTCTTCATGCCTACCTTGATTCAAAATAAAAAAATGAAGCTTTTCATCTAAGTGAAATCTCTTCAGGCTAAGTGCCTTCCTGTCTTGCTCCTGTTTGATTTTAGAAACAGTGTGGGGATGATATGCAAGGCCAGGGGTAGCTTCCTTGTCACTTCCAATCCATCTTCAGGTCTTCCCAAATCTCTGCGTTTTTCTGTTTTGTATGTGGGCAGCCCTCCTGGCTAAGCTGCCTCAAATCATTCCTTCCACCACTGCTTGAGTAGAGGCAGAGCCTGAGAGTGAAGCCTGTAGACATGGGGTGGGCCCAGCAGCCAGAGGATACCCCATATACCTCCAGTTTCTAGGAAATGAGATAGGAATTTGTTTTCTCAACTTGGGTAGGGATCAGTGACCAGCCATGGCCCTGCAGGCAGCTCACAGAGATGCTCCTCCCTGAGGCAGGCTATGATGAACAGGGCAGATCTCCCAGGCAGAACTGAAATACTGTAAGATAAATTCATTAGAAACACATTGTTATTTAGTGTGAACATATTTGCTGGACTTTCAATACATTTTCATACTGAATGTTTGTAGTATTGTAAAATGAAGCAGTAGGGCTCTTAATTCTCTCTGTTGGCAGCAAGAGCCTCCTCTCCAGGAAACCCAGTGCAAGCACTGGATCTGCACTTCAGGAGGACTCGGTAGAGGCTGAGGTTTGGTGGTGTGCTGGGCCCTTGGCTGCCCAACTTGGCAACTTTACCTGTGCTGTTCCATGTTAAAATTAGTTCCCAGTGTGCTTGTGGAAAATGTTACCCTCCATAAGACAGGGAGACGGCACGCTGCCATCTTGCTTAGACAGCAGGGCTGGGACAGGAGCTACCAGCCTCTGCTACCAGCCTCTACTACCCAGGAGTGTTAATTGTGAAACCTAACAATGGCTCACCGGTGCTCGCTCCAGTGGTTGCTGTCTTTTGTAGCGGGTGTGAAGTGGTGACCCAGTGTCGGTGGCAATGCGGTGGCGAGGACTGGGACCGTCTAGCGGAGGTGGTCGGGGCACGCACCCTCACAGTGTCATTCTTGCCCCCGCAGCTCTGTGGCGCGGCGAGGTGGCTTCCAGGTCTGCCCCTTTTTCGTCGGCCACGGCATCGGGTCGTACTTCCACGGGCACCCCGAGGTGTGGCACCACGGTAAGCGGCCCCCGCAGCCAGACCCACCTCCCCCCGCGCCGCTCCACCGCCGGCGGTGAGGGGGCTCCGGGAGGGGGAGAGGGAGGGCGGTAAAGCGAGCAGAGCCCCCACACACCCACGCACTCTGCCGGCTCAGGAGGGCGGGGGATTGCCGGGGGCGAGCTTTCCTCGCTGGGAAGCTGGAGGGCATCCCATACTTCTGAGAGTATTTTTGAGGACAAATCGCTCGTTAACGGAGTTGTCGGGGCAGCAGAGCCCCGCGGAGCGCCTTCCCCGCCCCGCTGCGGGCGGCAGCCGCCGTGTCCCGCGGTCCCGAAGCACGCCCGCTCCCGAAGCACGCCCGCGAAGTTTGTCACGGGGCAAAGAAAAATGTCTGCTGAGATATTAAAGCCCCCGGCCTGGACGGAGCCGCCGTCGGGGAGGTCCCGCTGCGGCAGGGGGATGGCATCGCTTTTGGCGGGTGCTCCGGCCTCATAGCAGGGCCCGGCGTGCACAGTACCTGCGAACCAAAAGGAGGTTTAAACAAAGTGCTGGTTGCGTTTCCTATTAGAAGAAAAAAAAAAAAAGAACCAAGATCCATAAACACGTTTTTATTTTCTTTTGTAGCCAATGACAGCGATTTGTTAATGGAAGAGGGGATGGCGTTCACAATAGGTTAGTAACTCTCTGCTATGGTTTTCTGTTAAAAAGCACACACGGAGCAGCCCAGATCCGTTAAATTTCTTTATTAGGATATAGAAATAGCTGTGCAGGCAGGAGGATGTTGGCGACACTGACCCCTTAGGAAGCAGACTAAAATATAATTTTTTTTAAATTATAACTAAGGGACCATGTGGGTGAAACAGCTTTCAAATTGCAAGATTTAAAAAATGAAATGTTTTTTACAAATCTTACTAATACTTGACACATATTTTTGGCAAGGCAGAGACTCTGCCAGCACACTTGGGTTGAGGAGGGTGAGAAGGATTTCATCATGTCCCCGAAGCCGAGCAGCCTGGTGGCACTTAGTCATTCGCTGTCTGCCAGAGCTGCTGTTGGGTTTGGGGACTGCGGCGGCGGTAACCAGCCAGAGCCTCGCCCCGCAGACTGATGGTGCTCACTTCCAGTCGTGGAAAGCTGCTGGGGGAAAAACCCTCTTTCTCACTGTGTGGCTAAATGGTACGGCAATTAGAGGGAAATAAGAAAATTGTTGTTTTGCTGATTTAATGAACATTTTAAGCCTGTTTAAAAAATTCAAATATTTAAAACTATCTGCTGTTTATAAATGTGGTTGGTGCTTTGGTTATTATCCACGGGGTCTTAATTAAAGCTTGATTAAAATTCCCTGCTTTTACAAAAGGGAATGGGCAACTTCCTACCTTGATATTTCATCTTCCTTTTTAGTTCACATTTCAGTGTGGCAAGAGAGTGCCGGCCTAGGGGGGGACAGGACCTGTGTGGACGGGGAGCTATCTGCTGGGACATCCCCCCCCCTTTTCTTGCTTGTTTCACAATCCACACGGGAGTGTAACTAACTTTAGAATACATTTTGTTTTTCTTGCTGCAGAGCCAATAATAATGGAAGGATCCCCCGAATTTAAGATTCTGAAGGATAAATGGACGGCAATTTCTGTAGACAATAAAAGGTGCCTGATTTTATTTTTTGTTATTTCTTAAGCCATGGAACTCATCACTGACAGACAAAAAAACCCAAACGGATGAGTTTTCATGCATGGTGGATGTGTTTGCCCCGTAATAACTGCTAAATGTGCATTTCAGATCAGCACAATTTGAACATACCATTGTGATTACCTCAGAAGGAGCAGAAATTCTCACTAGACTGGTGGAAGAAACCTAAAGACGGAGCAAGAAGTGGAGGGTCTTGCTGTACTTCTGGGATTTCCAGTTTCACTCAGGACAGAGAAGAGGTTTCTGTAATTTCTCTGGGGCATGGGTGCTGTGTGAGTCACTGCAGGGGACAGAAAAAGCAGCTTCAGGGGTCGGCTCTGGACATAGTCCCTTCTGTGTGTTACCTGGTGAGTATTTAATAAAAGTCTCTTGGCTTGTTTGTGACCCTTGCAGCAGTCATACACAGTCTGCAAGTGCAAAAGTTTGGGTTATTTGGAGCGAAGGACAGAGAGCGGGTCCTCTCTCTTCCAAATCCTATGTGGGACAAACAGGTATCAGATGACACAGTCTTTGTGCAGCTGAGAGGACAGAGAAACATAGTATTTTCCCTTTATAGCTGAGCTGTGGAGGCAATTTGTCTTCACTGCGATTAGCACAGTGCTGTTTCCCAGGCTGTAACTTCTACTAGGATGGAAAAAAGTTTCATGAGGGTGTCAGGCAGAGGCAGCAGCCTCTTCCCTGTATCCTTCCCAGCAGCAATCTCCCCCTTCTTGCCTCTTTTTACACAGCACAAAAAAATGATTAAAAATGAGATGCGAAGCACACCTCTCTGGGGATCAATAATTGCCCTGCTTGAAGAATTAGCTGGTTTGGGGTAATCACTGCTCTGCGGTGCCTACGTTAGTTAAGGGAAAGGCACTCTGCAGTTTAAGCATTTTATGGAAACAGAGGAGATGCGGGTCTCTCTCGACCTCGTGCTCTCTGTGGTCCTGTGCTGGGCCTGCGGGGGTGCAGGGTTTGATTTGCAATTTAGGCAGTTGTTGACCACCCTGTCAGGCCAGATGGGTCTGGCATTGGAACTTGGAGGCTATGAGAGCAGTACCTGGTCCTATGAAATGCGGGATAGTGTTGGAGATAAATGACTTCCAGAAGTTCCCCGAGCCCAAGGCAGCAGCAGTGCGGTTTGGTACAAATAATTTGCTCCCCATTGCAGGGGGATGCGGTCCTGTGCTGAGGGCTGGCCGGTTACACATTCAGGCAATCAGTACAGCTCAGCACCAGCTCCCTCAGACTTCCCGGGCAGAAGTAAGCCTCTTCCTTACAGCTTTACACGGCTGTTTGCTTTCACTCAAGTACAGCGAGCTCTCAGCTCTAATAGTTTCCAACAACATCTTTTCAAAAAGCGGTGCCCCCCCTCCCTGAACATGGCTAACGCCGCAGGGCAGCCGCTCAGCGTTGTCCTCCCCAAGAGGAGCATGAAAGGCCATAAAACCTGCAAAACAAGCGATGCAGCCAAGTTTACAAATACACAGAGATTAAACAACACAAGCAACCCTCGGCACTGCCCGGAGGGGGATGTATTTTGTTCCCTTACATTCCGTAGCATTGTCCCGTCCGCGGGGCACTGGGGGCAGCTTGTGTCCCGCACATCCCGGAGGCACTCCGGAGGCACCTCCCGTGGATTTTGGCCAAGCCCGGAGCACCTGGATGGCACCACAGGTGCCAAGCTTCTCACCATCGTCTGCCCCTCTGCCTCCTGTCCTGCGCTTACCGCGGCGTGGGGTGAGACGGGAACGGGGCAGCCGGGAGGGGGAACCTCCTTCAGCCCCGCATAAGGGGACTGCTGGCAACTCCTGGTAATCGCTGTTCACCCCAGAGTCCCTCAGGTAACTCGGGGGGGACTTCAGGATTTACCGTCGGCTGCAGAGCGGTGGCGGCCAGGCGGAGGCATTGATGGCGCACGTTTGTAATCCTAATTATGAACAAGACTAAGGAGATGTGTCGGCTGTGTGGGGACAGCCAGCGCCTCGCACAGACCCGTCACGCAGGAAGTCTTGCCGGGCCAGCACGGTGAGAGCCCCGATGTGGCAATCGCGGATCAGGGCGTCCCGCGGCCCCTCCGCGCCCGCTGAAGCCGCGCTGCCCGGGGCCGGCGATGCGCGGAGGGGCAGCGGCCCCGCTCCGGAGCATGGATGTGAGCAGAGCCCCACCGACCGGTCCGCGAGGTTTTGGCGGGGCCAGCGGGGTTGTGGTTCGCCTCGGGACTGCCTGCGCCCGCCCGGCCGGAGGAGGTGACGGCAGACCCTGCGGGCACGGAGCAGCCTCCCTTCCCTGGAGCCGTCGGGCTGAGGCCGGCAAAGGTACCGGAGCTGCCCGGGCGCCCCGTCCCCTCCGCAGGCAAACGCCCAAACCCGCCTCGGGGCGTCACTTACATGACTGGGGGGCAGAGCCGGCTGCCAGGGGACACCGTGTGTGTGGGGACACACCGCCACTGCCCGTTTCGCGTCAAGCCTCGGAGAGTTTGTGAGAATGAACTTTGCATATCGCGAGCAAAGCAAAAAAATAAAACATTAAATAGAAAAATGGAGGGAAAGAGGAAGTAAGAGAGGCATTAGGAGATGAACCATTAAAACCGACAGAGCCACCAATGAAAGGGGGGGGGGAAGTCAGGAACAGAGGGGCTCGGTTGTGCCAGTTTTGCACAGTCAGGAGCCGACTGCTTCACGGAGCGTCGCTGCCCGGAGGAGTCTGAACACCGTGCGGGCGCTGCCGGGGGTGCCCCAGCCCCGCTGCCGGCGCTAATACCTCTAACGACATCAACGCCGCGATTTGTTTTGAATGTTCACTTTTATTGGTGTTCTCCCTTTGCCAAAATGTGCTTGATTACATAGATGTGGTGCCGTGATAACTGCGCACCCTAGACAGCCTAGGTGTAACCGGGAAAGTTCAGCCCAGGCCAGATCAAATCCCAGGCTGTTTAATGCTGGAAGGCTGCATGTTGCTATTAGTGTTAAATATATGGCTAATTATGCGTATGAAAATTAAACATCAGTGTTATGCTAATGGGGCCGCCTTCAGCTGTGGATCAGAGCACTTGAGACTAGCATTTAATCAAATGAATCAGTAACTAATACATCTGCACGTGTGAACTTTCACAAGATCATTTTCCTGTTACAGTCACACCGCAGAATTATGAAAGAAATAATTATCAACACTTTCTAATTATCTAGCAAAGTAATTTGGGATTCATCGTGGGCTTTCTGGGGAGGATCTCCCAAGTCCCACCTCATTTACCTCTCACGCGTGCGGAAGTTTTCATTTTAAGCTCAAACGCGCCGTTGGCCCCTTTTAGGGCGATTTTGTTTGGTTAGATTGGGTTTTGTCCCTTTAAAACAATAACGACAGGAGCCGGACGGCGCGATCCGGAGGCGCGGGCGGCGCTGGGACCCGCGGGCTGGGGCCGAGAAGCTCCTGAGCGCCCGCGGAGCGTGTCCGGCCGGGCGGGCGGGGGCCGCTCGCTTTGTCCGCGGGTCCCGCCGGAGAGGGGCCAGGAGTGGCGGAACCCCCGCAGCCCGGCGGCGCCGGCGGAGCGCGTCCGCTGCCCCTCCGCGCCGCCTGAGCGGCGAGGGGCGGGGAAGGGCGGAGGGGGTTGCGCTGCCTTCCGCCGAGCTCCGGATCTGCGCCCTCGGCAGCGGGCGGCCGGGAGCGGGCGGCCGGCGATGGAGCGGGTCCCTGGCGGCTCGCTGCCCGGGTCCGGGCGGGCGCGGGTCTCGGTGCCGTCGGGCGGCCGCGCTCGGGGACGCGCCGCCAGACCCGCGCTCCGCGCTCACCGCGGTCCGGCCGAGCCCCGAGCGCCGGGGACCAATCCAAAGCGATTATGCAAGACGACGGACCAATCAGCTCCGCCGTTCATGAATATTCATAGACTTGGCTGAGTCAAAGCTTTTAGGCGAGTTTGTGTAGATCTACAGCATCATGCTTAGACTTTTCAAAGAGACAAACTCCATTTTCTTATGAATGGAAAGTGAAAAACCCTGTTCCGCTTAAATTGGGTTCTTTCCTGTCCTGAGAAACACAACAGACCCCAAAAAGGCAAGCTGAAGAGAGAACACACACACAGACCAAGCGACAAGAAATGACCATGACCACCATGCCAGAGAGTCTAAATAGCCCCGTCTCAGGGAAGGCTGTCTTTATGGAGTTTGGGCCGCCCAGCCAGCAAATGTCTCCTTCTCCCATGTCCCACGGACACTATTCCATGCACTGTTTACACTCCGCGGGCCACTCTCAGCCTGACAGCTCGTACAGCACAGCTTCGTCCTTCTCCCGACCGCTGGGCTACCCCTATGTGAACTCGGTCAGCAGCCACTCGACCAACCCCTACATCAGTTCAGTGCAGTCCTACCCCAACAGCTCCAGCCTGACTCAGACCCGGTTAGAGGAGACAGGTAGGTGCACTCGGCTTTGGGGAGAGGGGAAGGGGGGAGGGAAAGCAAGGAGGGAGGAAGGGTGCTTGTATTAAAAAAAAAAAATCTATGGGGGAAAAAATAAATTAAATTACAAAATATTAGTCAAGAGAAGCTGAGGATCACAGGGGACCAATACACAGAGTACACAATGCCTGGCTGGAAAAGAAACCAACCCAGATGTGCACGTATTAGTCTTCGTAATTATTTATTGCGTAGTGCTATAAACAATGTATGCAATTAAGGGTAATTAAACCTAAACTGCAGCCTGTAAAAATAGCAAACTTTCTCTGGGAAGAAGCCTGGGCTGCCATAATCGCCCGGAGCCTTTGTTAGCGTTACTCGAGCTTCACTTTTCTTCCTTCTCATTATTGTTATTGTTGATGTTGTTGCTGTTATTGTTGCTGCTGCTGCTATTACTGTTACTGCTATTATTGCTATTGCTGCTATTATTATTATTTATTCTGCATCGTTTGTTGTTCATAGGGGCCGAATCGGAGAAAAGCACTGTGGTAGAAGGAGGGGAAGTTCGCTTTAATGGGAAAGGGAAAAAAATCCGCAAACCCAGGACTATTTACTCCAGTTTGCAGCTACAGGCTTTGAACAGGAGGTTCCAGCAGACTCAGTACCTGGCTCTCCCTGAAAGAGCAGAGCTCGCAGCATCTCTGGGACTCACCCAGACCCAGGTACAGCGCCGACTAAGCCGGGCCTTCTCCCGTGTCCCCTCCCTGTCCCCACAGCCGGCGTGGGAGACCCCACGCGTAATGCAGACGGGTCACAGCCGCGGGCAACGGGGCCCGGCGCGACGCCTGTCCCGCCGCGGAGGCGCACCCGGTGCGCGGAGGCCCCCGCGGGGCCCGCTGGGGTTGGCGGGGGTGTCTTATTGGGTGGTTTGCCATCACAAAATAACACAGCAGCCACGGGGGGAATAAGGGAGAGAAGCTGGGGGGCCGCTGGTTGCGGGGATCCGTCGGATCCCGGAGGGATGGGGGAATGCTGGACCGTACCGAGGGATGCTGAGCACTGCCCCGTTCCCGTTCGCAGGTGAAGATTTGGTTTCAGAACAAGCGTTCCAAATTCAAGAAGCTGATGAAGCAAGGAGGGGCCACCCTGGAGAGCAGCGCCTTGACCAACGGCAGGGCTCTCTCGGGCAGCTCGCCACCCGTGCCCCCAGTGTGGAATACCACCTCCGCCTCCGGTAAGGCCTCGTCGGGGACCCCGGGCACCTATATCCCCAGCTACACGTCGTGGTATCCTTCGGCCCACCAAGAAGCTATGCAGCAGCCGCAACTGATGTGATTATAAATACGTTTTCCCCTAATGCAAGCACCATCCGTCCCAAAAAGAAATAAAATTATCACGGAAAAAAAATAATTAAGTAAAATAAAAGGAAAGGGGAAAAAATCTAAAAGAGGGGGGAAGAGAGAGAGAGAGGAAAAAAATACAAAAGAAACCCAAGCAAACAAACAAACAGGAGGTCTCTTGCCCATCCAGCCATTAGGACGCTGCACGGTAGCTCGGTGCAGGAGAGCACAGATGTGATGCGGGCCGGTTCCCACCGCTGACAGCTGACGGAGCGGCCCCGAGCACCGCACAACAGCCTGGGAGCAGAGCGAGCGCCGGCCGCGGCTTTGTGGGACAATCAGAAAAAGATGTTTTGGGGGGGGGGAAAGCCCTCTCCTCTGTCCTGTCTGTCTGTCTGTGTCTGTTGAAATGTAGGTCATTTATTTACTACCCCGATCTGACGGTCTCTTCAATTGCAAGGGGGAAGGAAGCTGTACAATTTACCAGAGCTTCTTTCCCTCGACATTTTCTGTACCTTTCACTATCCATCTGTATATTTTTTGTTGTTGTTAAAAGGGGAAGACAGGGGTTTTATTTATTGATTTAATTACCACTATGAGAGTGCTAGAAACAAACTCAGCTTGCTGAGTGCACTGCTCGGACGCACAATTTAAACGAAACCACAGACGGTCCGTCGTCCCGTTCCCCCCGCCCCTCCTCGAATAAATCACCACGAGGGAAGGATGCGATTCTAACTTTGACAATAACTTTTATACTTCGCTGGTGTGGAGAGGTTTGGCCCGAATGATTTGCATTTCTCGCGTATTTAACAAAGGAAATAAATGCACATTGTTTGGTACTCTGAAGTGGAATCGCAGCAGCTGCCGAGCGCTTTGCTGAGGTGAAGCAAGGCGCGGAGGACGGAACGAGAGCCCCGAGGGCGGCGGCGACGGGGGGGACCCACCGGGAGGGTGGGCAAGCGCATCCGCACAGTCCCGGCGCGGCCTCCCCGCGCAAAGCCGACCCAAAGTCGAAATGCGCAAACCGACGTGCAGGAGCTACTCGCTGTACATATTTTATTCTTAATTATTATTATTATTATTATTATTATTGTTCTGTAAACATGTTGCACAAATTTAGCCTTTTTTAATTATTATTTCTGTTCTGTTTCGTGTGGCTGTAAAACATGATGCTTTGTGTACTGAGATCTTGACATTTTACTTGTGAAAGTCGGAAGATGTGATAAACTGAGCTCGGCTGTGTTTAGTGTTCTATATGTCAAAGTTTAGTTTTATATTGAGAATGTTAACTTATTGCTTTGTATCTGGGGGAGGAAATGGAAAAAACCACACAAATCTTTGTATATAAGTTATAAAGTTTCTTTGAGACAGTAAAATTATGGTTTGGAAAAAGAGACAGTCGTGCTCCCTGTCTCGTAGAGCAGCCGGGAGCGGGGCCTGGGCCAGGCTCCGCACTCCGCGGCGGGACGGCGGTGGCCGTAACCGGGAGGCGATACAGAGTAAGGGGGTCGACGCGCCCCGGACAGGGCAGCGTGTCCCCTTGCGCCCCACCGGACCGAGTCAGGCGGCGGCGGCCGCCGCGATGGGCTGCGGGACCCTCAGCCGGGGGGTCACTCCAGGCCGAGGGGAATCCGGGAACAGTTCCTGGGACGGGAGAGGGATGCGGACAGACCGGGACAGCCCCGGCCCCCGTCCCGACAGCCGAGCCAGCTGCCTATCCCGTCGGCGGCGAGGCCGTGCCACTGTCGCCGCGCTCGCCCCGCGCCGGGCTCAGCCCGGGCCGCTGCTGGGGTCAGCAAAGCGCTGCAGAGCGGAGGGAACCGGGAGCGGCCGGGCTTGGCCGGATGGCCGTGCGCGTCTCTACGCGCAGGTTCCTTGGCGGATCGGCAGTGCAGCCCCGCGGGCGATGCTCACCCACCCCGAGAGACGCACCCACTCCGCACTGCGCGGGGCCGGAGCGCAGCCGACGCGCGGTAGCGCAGCACCCGCCCTGGCGGCACACGCGGCGCCGTGGCCCGCGGGATGTCATTTCCGACCTGGAAAACGCTCCCCATCTTTGCATTTCCCGCGGTGCCACGGCCCGAGCCCGGATCCGATCGGCCCGAAGCCCCGAGCGGAATCGGAAGGCTCCGCGTCCCCGCAGCGCCGCAGGATCCGCGCAGTTCCCGCGGCGGCTCAGCCGGAGACCACAAATGCCTTTAACCGGACAGGAATGGGGTGGTCAAGCAGCTCGGAGCGTTTTAAAGATATATTAGCTTCTCCTAATTCAATAACGTCTTGCTAACAGTTTAAATAGAGAAATTATTAGTTTTCTCTCAGCGAGGCGGTCTTGAGTTAGAGGCTATTATGATTGTACATTTGAAAATGTTAATCTCAATACAGGCCTAATTAATTCTGCCTTGTTGCTGACAAGTAGTTCATCAAATATCTGATTCGAAGATTTTCATAATGAGGATATTAATTAAACTATGAATAATCCAAAGGTGCTTATATTGAAACAATACCTCATTACAATGATTAAGTCCTGATTTCGAATATTATACCTTTACCAATTGTCACCCGGCAAACACAACCTTATGGATGAGTCTGTAAATGGCAAAATGTAATTTTGGGATATATTTTTTCCTTGTTGGGGAAAAAAAAAAGTGCCCCTCATTTTCAAACACTTCTGAAATAGGTTACACACAGCTTAATGATGATCAAAATGACTCTTTTCTGCAAAAAAAGACCCCAAAGTGCGCGTACAGCTGCAAACCCAAGAGGGTCAGCATCATTTCACTGTATTCTCTTCTTGATTACAAGCCGAGCCCATCAAACACAACATAATTACAGTAATTTCAGGTTTATTTATTCTAATGCAGTTTCCCCATCTCTCTGGTAATTATGAGCAATTTTTTCGCCCAGGGAATCTTTTTGCATTAACAAAAGAGATAACGCACTGAAAGCCAAATTTGCTGTGCATTGAGAAAAGCGAAGAAAAAAAAAATAAAATAGGTGCGAGCTGCCATCTCTGCAATTCTCCTATATTGGAGCTCTGCAAATTGCTTGCAGGTGTATGGAGCAGAGCTGTCAATAGGAAGGGGCTTCCAAATTAGCAAATGCACAATGTTGAAGTAATGAAGACAGACTTAGCAAAATTGCCAAACAACAGATACCTCTTTAATATCTTCCACCCAAAAAGAAAAAAAAGAAAAAAAATCCCCTTGGAGTGTCCCTGCGAACCCCTTTCAATGGCTGGGGATGTTGTACATGTGTCAATCTAATTGCAGAGCACAGAGCGGCCCCTGAAACTAGAAAAAAAATCAAATATCAGAGCCCGTTTGCATTCCGAATTTGCTCCCTTCGTTTAACAGAGGGGGATAAGAAATCCCCGCCGCCGGTCTCTCCGCTCTTCCCGCCGCCGCCCACCTGCCCCGTTCCCGCCGCCACCGCCGCTCTCATGCCCGTGCAAAAGTGCCATGTCCCCCGGGCATCGGCGCCTTCCCCTCCCGGCTCCCGGCTGGGGACCGGGCAGTAACGCACCCCTCCGCAAGGAACCGACAAACGCGCACCACAAAACCACCGCCGAAAACGAGCGCTCCCCGACGCCGGCAGCCCCCGGCACCACGGCGGCCCCGGGCGGGAGTGTCCCCGCGCCGCCCCCGCGCCGCTCTGCCCGCGCTGGCTCCGCGGCTGGCGCGGCTCGGCCCGCGGGATGCCCCGGCTCGGCCCGCGGGATGCCCCGGCGCGACCCGCGGGATGCCCCGGCGCGGCTCTGCGCGGCAGCCCCGCCGCCCGGCACGCCATCCCCGCTCCCTTTCCTCGCCCTGGTGCCGCCGGCGGAAAGTTTTGCAGGGAGACTGGGCCAGCGGAGCCGCCGCCGGTGCTTCCCCCCTCTCGCGGCCCGCGCGGGGCATCCATCCACGTCGCGCCCCGTGCACTCACCTACCCCCGAGAGAAAGGAGCCTGTGTCGCCACCCTTACCTTCCGCCTCAGTCCCTGAGGCTCTGGGCACAAGTCTTTGCTTTACAACAAACCAAAGGACCGAACGCGGCTTTTTGCTACGAAAGTTAGAGGAGCGAGAGAGTGTGTGAGAGAGGGAGAGGATAGGGGAGGGAGAAAGAAAGCGAAAAAAAAAATGAAGCCGAGCACAATAATAATATCCTGAGAGTGCAAATGTGGATTGAGATCCCCCAGAGATGCACATGCCTCTGAGCGCAGCAGCCTTTTTGCAGCTCTGCTCTTGCAGAATATGACTGAAATTTTCTGCTATATAGCCTCTGTCTTTATAGCTGATGAAAAAAATTGCAGATTATTAGCATAAATGTTTACTCTTCATTACGCTGATGACATTGTGCACTCGAGATCTTGGTAATCTTTGGGAAAATTATGAGTAATTTTTAAAAATTTTAAAGCAGCAGCAGTTACCATGCAATTCAGGCTAATTCTGCGTAGGCTCCGAACGGATATAATTATCGAGGAGTCAAGATGTTATGCTAAAAACTATGCATTGATATTCCCATTTATTATGTACATACAACTTTGACAATGTTGATGCTTGAAATAGCAGGAAATTGTCTTGCGCAAAAATTACAGTCCATATTAGGACATGTGAAATTGCGAAGAATTATATAGTAATTGCAGGCTTTCAGATGGGAGAGCCAGAATGCTCAAACTAGTGCAAATGTGGATAAAATTACAGATCAGAGCAAAAATTAGGGAAAAAAGGGGTCTGGGATTTTTCAAGTTGGCTATAGGATTCCGGAAGTGTCTAATGCCACATGATTGCTTCAGCTTTAGGGGAGACATTCATGCCTCAAATAACTCCTTTTGCCAGAGCCGCTTTAATTGAATTTCTCGTGCTTTCTCTTTTCACCGGGCAAATGAGTAAATTGCCTCCCAACGGTACAAGCCCGGCCGGCCCCGCCCGTGCACCGGGGAGGCAGGGGTGCCCCTCGCCCGGGCGGCTGCCAGGCCGCCCCCCCGGACAGGGCTGGCCGCGGAGCTGTCACTTACCCCGGCCGCCCCCTCGGGACCGGCCCCGCTCAGGCGCTCCCGCCGGGAGCCGAGCCCGGGCCCGCCGGGGGGGGGGCCCTCGGCGCTGGGACGTGGGGTAGAATAGTCCCGACCACCCCCCTAGGCTCCCTCCCCCATTTCCCAGAGCTCCCCGGAGTGCTGGGGAGGCCGGGGCAGCTGTCGCCCCTCGGTTATCCTGCTCCCCGCGGCTCTGCCCGGCCCCGGGCGGCCGAGTCCCGCGTCACTGTGTCTTGTGCGAGGGCTCATGGTTCTCAGCGCCTGCCCTATCTATCGGACAGATAGATCCTGTCCCATCTATCGGACAGGAAAAGAGAAGAAGAAAGTAGATTACAAACATACACATATCTATACGTATGCATCTGCGGTACGCGCGGAGCTGCAGCGCGCCCCTGCCTTCGCCGACCCCAGCACGGTGTGAGCTGCATTTAGGATGCGAGCAGTGGGCGAAACGAGGAGGCTAGAAGGGCTCAGGGAGATACGGGGATGCTGAAACACGGAAAACCCATCGCATACACCAGGTGCAGACAGCCCAGAGAGAACTGCTGCTAGCAGACAGCAAATAAATAGTAATAAATAAATAATAAAATACTAAATAACTAAATAGCAGAAAGAAAGCGTGGAGGTCCCCGTCCTGGGTGCGGTGTGCTCTGCTCCCCGACCGCTGACAAGCGTCCCCCCGCTGAGGAGGTCCTCGTCTCGGGGACCCCACGCGGCTGTCGACATCCTGCCCAACCCCACGGGGCCGGGCAACACACCGCACCGCACTGCTGCATCGGACTGGAGGCGCTGGGCGCAGGTGTTTGGGGGGAACTTTATTCAACTGAGTAAAGCGTCTGTAAAAACGACGGGGCGGGGAACGGGAAGGGAACTGTCTTCGTCCCAGCCCGCGCCTACGGTCTCCTCGTGCATCTCGGACGATCAGTTTAGCAAAACTTGTGACCTGCCAAAGGGGTGTATCCCACATTCCCCCCTCCTCCCTCCGCCGGGGTCCGCGGAAACACCGCGCTGCTGGGGACACAGCCCCTGTCGCCACGCGTGCCGCTCCGTTCCACGCCCGCCGCCCCGACGGTTCGCCGCACGCCAGCGGGGAGCTTTTGCCCCTGGCCTGAGTCGAAGCTGAGGCCGCTGCCGCCGGGTCTCCCCGCGGCCGGCGGGAGGGTGACGGAGGGGAGAGATGCGGGGTGGGCCGGCCTCGCTGCTTTCTGGGGAGGCTCTGGACTCTCTTCCGCGTCCTCGCCGCCGGGTCAGCGCCGGGACCGGAGGGCAGCTGCCGCTTCCCCCTTTGTCTCTCCCGCTCCCTCCTCTCGCTTCCTTTGCACCCGACTTCCAACACCCCCCCTTCATTCTTCTCTTTTCCTCACTCCTCCTTCGACCCCCGCCTCCTCTCGCCCCCAAGCTTTCCCCAGGCTCTCAGGAGCAATCTGCCCTCCCGCCTCCCCCACTCCTCCCGACGTGTCTCCTGTGGGGCCGCCCCCCTCCGCCTTCCCCGGCCCCGCCCGAGCTCCTCATGCCAAGGCCTGTCGGAAGAGTCTCGGCCAGGCTGCGCATTCCCTACTCCGGGCAAGCTAGCCTGGGCGTCTTCATCATCTTGTCTGCAGCGGGATCTTCCTCACGGCTCTGTCTCCCGCTGCCTCTACCTCCAAGGATGGTGGGGTGACAAGGGCCAGAGACCCCCCCCCCTCCCCGTTTTTGCTTCTTCCAGCACTAGGATCTCTAGGGATGCAGCCCGAAGGGATGCACCCCTCAGGGTTACAGCTTGGAAGGGCACAGCTGGAAGGTGGGCACCCCTAGGGGCGGCAGCCCCGAAGGGTGCAGCCGAGGTCATAAAGTGAGGGTTCAGCTCAGAAGGGTGCAGGGAATGGAATGGAGTGGAATGGAGCGTTCCAGCGGGCTACATCAGGGAGGGGTCCACCCCTCGAGGGATACATCTCAGAAAGGTGCAACTGGCAGGGGGTGCTGCCTGAAAAAGAGTTAAGCCTGGAGGGATCCTATCCTCGTGGGGTACATCCCAGAGGTGCTATGAGGGGTGAAGGCTGGGGGGCTGCATCCCAGAGGGGAACATCCTAAGGGGTCCAGTCCTCCAGGGGCACATCTCGGAGAGGTCCAGTCGGTGCCTCCAGCCCTCGAAGAGCCACAGAGCGGCTCGGGGGCAGCCATCAGCTCTGGCTCAAGCAAAGCTCCCACGCAGGCTGCCGGCCTGGGTGCCACAGCCAGAGGGGCACAGCGAAATGTCTCTGGGGCAGGACTGCGCCCGGGGACCAGCTCCAGGACTACTGAGGTCCTTGGACACGGCCCTGCCCCAAACCCCTCCGGACCGTCTGGGAAGCCGGGAGACGGCAGGACTCTGTCCCGGGTGAAATGTCGCTGGCGCCAGCAGGCGGGGGAGGGGAGAGGGAGGGCGGCTCTAGGCTGCTGCAGGCAGCGCTGAGTGATTCATGACCTCGCCGAGAAGACTGGCAGGGGCGAGATTTTATTGTAGATGGGAAAAGGGGGAAGAAGGGGGGAAGTTGCACTCCTGCGGCAACAGTTGCAATGGGGAGGGGATGGAGGGGACGCAGCGAACGCCCGGGTCCGGATCGACACCCCCAACCTCTCCCATTCCCAAATAAACTCAGCGTGGGCACCATGGAAACAATAATTTATTTAAATAATCTCTGCTGATTGTAAAAGAAACATTAAAGAGTGTTTAAGTTTTCCATAATAAATAACAAAAAATACCCTGTTTCCCCCCCCCCCCACGATCCTAGACATCAAACGGCGCAAGGGAAGGGTTAGTGGCAAGGTTGCCGGTGGGGCAGTGGTGGCGGAGGCGAGGGCTCGCCGCGGCTCGGCGCCCGACCCGGGGAAGCCCCGTCGGGGCACAAAACCCGCCCGGAGCCAGTGCACGGGCGGGAGCTGCGCCGACACCGCCGCCTGAGACCAGTCCCCACCCCCGCCGGACGATTTTGTTCACGGCTAAAAAGGATACCTTAAGCACGGGGGGCTTCTGTTTCAAATCTACATATAAAAATTATTTATTCTTTTTTTATCATTTTATTTTTTAATCCCCAACATCGAGGTGAGGTTATCCGCAAAGGCACCTATCAATTTTAAAAAAATAAAAAATAAAGTTAACCAGAGTTCTGCACCTGTGGCTTGATGAAATGCCGGGGGAGAGGACGAAGAAGGACGAAGGGAAGGAGGTGGGTACTTATTCCGCAGCGTGGTTTTTTTGGCGGCGGGAGGGCGGACCCACGGGGCTGAACGCACACGGGGTCCGCCGCTTGCGGCAACGGGGCGGGACGGGGCACGGAGCAGTTCCTCTCCGCCGGAACGGCCGGAGCCAGATTTCACCAAAACACCAGTGGCGGCACCTCTGTGCCCCGCGGCTGCCGGACGCGGCCCGCGGGCTCAAGTCTCTGCAGCGCCTAGAAGATGCTACCGCCGCCGTGGTGGTGCGGGGGCTGCGTCGGCTGCGGGAGGGGAGCGGCCGCCGGCAGGTGCGCCGGGCCGCCGGGCGCCGGCGGGTACCACGAGTAGCTACCGAGAAAGGCGGCGGCGGGGCTGGGACTGGCGGTGCCGGCGCCGCCCGCCGTGCGCGGGTGCGGAGCAAAGTCCCAGGCGGGGGGCGAGGAGGGGGACGGCGGCGAAGCGCTGCGGCGGGGAGGCGGCTCCGCTGGGATCTCTCCGCTCTTCCACATCTTCTTGAACTTGGAGCGGCGGTTCTGAAACCAGATCTTCACCTGGGGAGAAAGAGAGGGTCAGGCGTCCGCAGCCTCTGCGGCGCCGTCCCGGCGCCCGGGTCGCCCGCGGCGGGGCAGGGACGCGCAGGTTTCGCAGGCTCGAGCAGTCCCGGCACTGCCTCGGCGGCGCTACCCCTTCGCCCGCACTCCCGCCCCTGGGCCGTCGAGGCGCCGTGGGCCGACCTCCCTCCTAGAACCCCGCGGAGGGCGAACGGTCACCAAGGGGCGAGACGCGCCCGTGGCCCCGCGGCGGGAGAGCCCTACCTGCGTCTGTGTGAGGCCGAGGGAGGCCGCCAGCTCCGCTCTCTCGGGCAGGGCGAGGTACTGGGTTTTCTGGAAGCGCCGCTGCAGAGCGGCCAGCTGGAAGCTGGAGTAGATGGTTCGGGGCTTCCGCACTTTCTTGGGCTTCCCGTTCACGATTCTGATCTCGGGCTCGCAGTCTTCCTTCTCTGCTGCGGCAGAAACGGCGACCCCGATAAGGGAAGGCGCCCTCGCCGCCCCGGGGCCCGCCCGCAGCGCGGCATCACCGCCCGCCCCGTCGGGGCGACCCGCCGAGAACGAGCGCTCTCCCGGCCCACCCCGACTCTCGGGCCCCGATCGCCTCCTCGCCAGGCCTGGAGGGAACCGCCGGACTCCCGGCGGCTCACTCAGCTGTGTCCCCCGCGGGGTTCGGACGTACCAGAGTCGTTGTTGGCCGGAGAGGCCCTGCTGCCGTAGGGCCCGTAGGAGCCGTAGGCGCCCGCGTAGCCCACGTCGTAGGCGGCCTTGGCAGAATAGGGGGCGGCGCCGCCGCCCGCGTAGGGGTAGGAGCCTACGGGGCCGTAGGGCGGCCCGCCCGCCGCCCCGTGCTGCTGGTTGGTATAGTAGCTGCTGTCGGTGGCCGTGGAGACAGGCAGAGTGGGGGACTCCTGCGGCTTGTGCAGGCCGCCGTGCTGGTGGTAGCTGCCAGCGGAGATCTGGCTGGCGTGCATGTCCGGCACCAGACTCTCCAGCACCCCGGTCATCCCGCGCCCCCGCCCGCCGGGGCACGGGCCGCCGCCGCCCCAGGGCCGTCTCCACGGGGGCGAGGCGCTCAGAGCCGCGCCACCATGCCCGGCGCTCCCCGCGCTCCGCCGGGGCGGTGCAGCCGCGCTCCCGCCGCGCCCGCGGGACGGGCTCTGCGCGCCGCGCGCCTCCGCCGCGGCATTTAACACGCGTCACGTGGCGCGGCGCACGTCACCTAGCAACGGCCAATGGGGAGCCCGCCCGCGCCGCTCCCCCGGGTCCGCGGAGCGCGGGGACGAGCGGCCCCGGGGCCGCAGGGACTGGGACCCTCCTGGGGAGTGGGACCCTCCCGGTCCCCGTCGTGCGGCTCAGGCTGCCGCCCCTATGGTCGGACGGCGCGGTCCGACCCACAACGGCGAGCGTTGGGGTCTGCGGCTCGGCCCGGCTTCTTCTGCCGTGCTGTGCCTCCCGTGTGTGTTCCCGACCGGCCGGCGACCCCAGGGAAAGGGCCGCGCGTCGGTCCTCCCGTGAGCGATATCTGCACGCGGGCGCGCCTCGCTGCGGGCTGATCTGGGAGCGCCGCGTTCGGGGGTCCCTCTCAAGTGTTCTAATCCCCGGGAGAACGGGCACATCGGGGGAGATCAGCACCCCGTTCTCTGTGCCAGAGCGGCAGCGCTTCCCAGCGGAACCTCCGCAACGTTACGCGTGTGTTTCACACGGCAGCTGCTGGCGGCACCCACGGGCCGTCCCGACACGCGGCAGCCGCGAACGGCGCTTTGTTGCGGCCCAGGCACGACGGCGGGGCCGGTGGTGCCAGGCACCTCCGAACAGCCGCCCGTGTCTCTGTCCCGTCCCCGCCCGCTGGCGACTGCATGGGGGCCATCGGGGCGCGTGTCGGGCGGGCACGGCGGCGCTGTCCTTGGCCGCCCTCTGCCGGGGCAGCGCCGGGGGGCAGCGGCCAGAGTAGTGTCTCAGGGGCGCTAGGAAGCGCTTCGGAACTTTATTCTTGTCCTCTCCCTCGCTGGACTGTCCCGCAGCGCAGCGGAACCGCGTGGGGCTGCCGGGCGGGGAGCGGCCGCGACCCTGCGGGAGCCTCCCGGGTGTTCAGTGAGGGAAGGCAGGGAGGCGGCATTGGTGCGAAGGTGGCTGCGAATGGATAAAAAAAGGTAAAAAGGGTAAAAAAAAGAGAGACCGGCCGCCGTGGCGTTGTTTCAAGGCCGAGGGGGCAGCGAGGCTCCCCCGCACCTGCCCGGCCCCGCGAGCCCCGCGCGTGCCCCCTCAGGCCCCTGCTCGCCCCCCTCACGGCGCAGGGGCCGCGGCTCGGTCTCGGCCGCTTTGAAGCGGAGCGCGGCGGGGGCCGGGACGTCCGTGCCCAGCGGGGCGGCGGCGTTGCGGCGGGACCGAGGGAGCGGGGCTGGGCCGGGCCGGCCGCCGGCGGCAGTGGCAGGTGGCTCCGGCAGCGGGACTGGGGGAGGTGTGGCGCTCGGCCGGGCCAGCGGTGAGCCCGGGGCGCGGCCTCCGCGGGAACCGACGTGCCCAGGGCCCGGGGTGGCACCACCGGGACCTGGCGTCCGGCCTTGCTGGGGCGAGCGGGGCCCGGGGCCGGCCGGGAAGGAGCAGCTGCGGTCACGGGGATGGCCCGGCGCCCGCAGCAGTGGTTCACGTCCTGCTCACTCTCCCAAATATAGCTGATGTTCATTGCAAAAGAAAGCCGGTTCCTGCAACCCGCTGTCTGAGCGACTGCTGTCCCAGGTGACATATTTGTAGGACTATTTCTGTCCGTTGCTGGACGAGGGCCGGCAGCCTGAAGCAGCCGCTGGCTGGAGCGGGAGAGGGACGGACAGCGTTTAGTGACTGTCAACAGACAGGGCAGTCAGCTACCCTTCATACGTTCTGAAGCATGCGCGATGGTTTTAAGAAATACAAAGAAGAAAGGACATGTAATCTTATATTATCTCATCATAGGATTTAATAAAGCAAAGGACTTACTCGGGAATTTGTCCTTCTATGTGACAATTTTTGTTTTTAAATTAAACTAAATATTTTAGTGCCGTATAGCTCTATGCATGTGCATGGTGATCTGTACAAAAAGTAAAGGGCATGATTTTGTTTACTTCAGCTTTTTTGTTTACTTCGTGCAAGTTGTTCCTCATAAGTTAGTGCAGGACTCACAAATTTAAATGAATTGTCGCATGGTAGCTGCTTCAGACTCTTACAGCTTTGTTCCTGCAGTTTGTTTTGCCTCTTTGGAGGTAGAGACTTTGCTGGAATGACCATTGGGGAGTTACTTATGCATATATTCACATGGCTGATCTTGTAGATCTGATTTTAGTATTTCTAATCGAACTTTTCTTGTGAGGTAGTTGTTTTAAACAACTTGTATAAATAAAGGTATGACTCTCTGAACTGTGAAGTTGAACAGCTTATGATAGAGGGAGACAAGACATCAGGCAGCAGGAAGGAAGGAGAAAGGGTTGTATTAGGTAAGAGACGACTGTCGTGAATGTTTTAAAACACACTTCTCTGAATCAGTCATTGTATTAGCAAGATGTTTAAAAAAATAATGGCATTAGGCTGGCCCACGTTTATGTGTTTTCATGTTCTCGTGTCGAGCTAATAATTTTAATTCTACTTTTTTGGCTCTGCTTTGGGAATTGTGAATGTTACATGGATGGGTAATTAGAAAGGACCCAGGGAGACTGGGGCGTGAGATAAAACTCAGAGGACTAGCAGTGTTTTGTATACCTGCTGTTCACTACTCGTCAGTCCTGATTGGTTTTGGTGTTATTATTTATATCCCGTGAAAAGGAATGTTTGGGTGATATAGGTTTTGTATCTTATGGACATTAGTGAGTCAGTTGCACACGGGAAAAAGATGCTTGCTTTCCCACTGCAGAGCAGTTCAGCGTTCAAAAGGTTTGGTCGTGAGGTTTATATAAATATACAGCACTTGTTGCCAGAGGCTACAAAACAACTGAGCTGGCTTTGTTGTTGTTGACTTGTTTTCTGTAGAAGCATCCTCATGCTGCTAGGACTGTGGACATATTTTGTTTATCAAGTATACTAAACACAGTGTGTATAAACACAAAAAAGGACCATCAGTCTTCAAAATCATCATCTCCAACTGATCAGCTTGTATTATTTTTTTTTTAACAGGGCAGTTGTATATGACTCATAGAAATGGCTACAATAACTCCAGGTTGGTATGTTTTATTTTTTATTAAGTATTATTTCTATGATTCCCTTTCTAAAATAGACTTCATCTGAGAAAAATGTGAAAGCACTTAAAGGCTGATATTCTCACTCCATATACATTCTATAGATTTAACCTAGGGATCAACAGAGCAAGTTGTTCCATAATGTCTTCTCTCAAGTTTCACTTGCAGAGAACCAAACTTAGCATGAACAAAGAGATTAATTTTTAATCTGGTGTATTTTTTAATATTATTTTCCCCATTATGATGCACATTGGGCTGAACCATTTCACTTCAGTAGGAATGTGGTGAATCTTGAGAGATAGGCCTGTTATTTCTGATAATGTTGCACAAAAGTCATTGGACTGCAGTCTCTACTGCAGTGGCATGTCAACAAGTATGGATTTCTTTTCATGGCTAAGGGAAATGCTTTCCGGTGGATTTATGGTGATATATAAAATGTGTGGTATAATCCTGAGTGTTTGCCTTAATAATAGAAGAGTAATTTAAATCATGTGCCAACTGAAGCCATGAGAAGGGTTTATCCTTGCATTGTACCTATGAGATCTGGTATTACTTTTTAGAGTGATGGTAACAGTTAAATCTTCCTTTTCTGAGGGATTAAGCATATCACCTTTTAGGAAATTGTGTGAGTCTTTCCAGTACCTCTCTGTAAGCCTGCTGCCTGCTGTGCTTAGTTTCAGAATCCAGCATAATCATTTTCCTCTCTAAAAACTGTTTATTGTCTCATTCATCTATTCATCAGATTACTTCATATCAAAAATCACGTAACTCTTCTGGGAAGAATATGCTCCCTTGTGTGGCTCCCCAAGGATTCCTTTCTTAGCCCCTTGTTGTAAACAGCTTATACAAGCGTGATAGGAGACATAGGTTCTGTAAAATCCTTTCAGAGTTATTTATTAAGCTGTCGTGGTCTCAGATTATTTTTTTCGGTGATGATTCACTGGCAGCTCAGCACCTTTCTTCAGTAGAAACCTTTGCAGACTGGAGCACAAACTGTGACTTTTAATAGTGGATTAGTCTGGTGTTATTTAGCACAGGTGTTTCTCAGTTGTTTCTTTGTACAATGGTGGGGAAGTGCACAGCCTGATGCATTGGGGTGAGTGTCTAATACTAGCACATTCATAGGTCTAATTATTGCTACAGATGCATGGTGTGGGGGTGAGAAGGAAGGTCTGTGTGCAGAATGTGAAGGCACTAGAGCAGCAATCTTTGTAAGTGGCAGTGGGTTTTGGGAATAAAGCAAAGCATGCCCAAGCAGTCCCTCTTGCCTCCTTTAAGAATGTGAAATTCTACCCTGTGCTTAAGTGGGGCCCTCATGCTGTTCTGATCACCTATGGTACTTCCAGGTATTTTTTTTTCTTTACCAGACGTATCATAAGTAAATACTGACAAAAGCTATGTGATATGTTGGGTATTTTTTAGTAGAATGGGATTGGTAGAACAGCTAGAAAGTAATCTTTTTACTAGTGTTTTATGGGAATGTTAACTAGCCACAGGCTGGGTAGTCATGGCTGAGGTACATGTATACACTCTGGAACAAGTGCTTACAAGCCCACTTTACAGTGGATTTGAGCAAACTCAGGTTCAGCTCACACCTACATCTTTGTTAAAAATGTTTTGTATGTGAATATTTAGATGGGAAAAAAATCTTTAGTATGAGCATGCATGACAAATGCTTTCAAGATGAATCACTAGATAATTTCTAATATTGCTGTTGATGACAAGTGTGAGAGAAGCTGAGAGGCGTTATTTTGTGGGAGCAGATTTGGGCTGAGTTGATAATTATAAACTGATAATTATGAACTCTTGTTTTGCACAGGTAGTGGAGAACAGATTTTTTTGCCTTGACTGTAACATCTGTACGACCTTTACCTGTGCAGTCTAAGCACAGTTAAGGAAACTGTTCAACACTGAGAATAACCTAGACTGCTTTGGTTTTAGCTCAAGTGTGATTATTTTAAGGGTTCAGTTTAGTGGACAATGGTATTTGGAGCTCAGAAATGCTGTATCACCTCAGTGTGGTTGGATGAATTTTGATTTGTAGTGCCTGTGAACTGCCTGAGGCATGAAGTGCAGTTTCTCCTGCAGGATGTTGTTTGCGATGACACCTCCTCTGACTGGCAAATAACAAGGTCTGTTCCTGGTGGAAAATATGAATGTCTTGCTTGGAAGGATGAGATGTGTGTTTCACTTTAAAGAAGATATGTACAGGAACAGATCTCCTAAATGGATTATACAGCTGTAACACACTTCGGGGATGTACATGGTTGCATTTCCATCTGGAATGCCACACTAAATTGACTCAAATTGTGGACCACGCAAACTGCAGAGCTTCTTCTTGGGAACACTTGGATATATGCTCTGGGATTTGGCATTGGCTATCCCCAGCCTCTTGTAGGCAGCTTAGGTAGAGATGATGAATTGCTTGAAGTTGTAAATTTAAAAGAAAATGTTCTTCTTTCCTGTAGTGAGAAAATATGCACATATAAAACTTACAAATTAATTGTCCTTGAAGTTAATTTGCTTTTTGTTTTTAAAAGTGGTGAAGTCAAAATAATCAGAAGTGAGTACATTAGTATGATCTTGACTGGTAAAGCCACAGTTGTCCCATGAACTGGCTGGGGAACCTTTTCTTCAAGCTGTATAGCTGAAGTCCATTGTGCAAGTATGAAAACAGAGATAATTTGTCTGTGAGGAACACTCAAATCTCATAGTCTGCACACATATCTGTCTTGAAACTGTTCCTCCGTTGGAGGGAAGGGGATGAAAGGAAGTGTGTTCAGATTCATAAGAGTTACTGGCCTTTTGTTTTCTTGCAGTTGCTTAGCTTACAATATTGGCAGGTGCTCTGCACATGTATTTAATCTCATAGTATTTTTCCTGTTGGCAGAATGCCTAGATCTGAGAAGTACATGCCTTTTATGAATGCTGCTGTAAATCTAAGTAAATTAAATTAGAATGTTGTTTTTTACTTGTATGCATGGCTGTGAGAGGATAGTGTTGTCATCTAGACCAGCTCAAGCTCCTTAAATTTTTTTTTCTTTTCAGCTTGGAAGCTATATAACCCAGAAGAAAAGATCTTTAAATCAGAGAGAGCACAGCAGCTTCTGAGAAGAGATTATATAAAGTGGCAGGTGGGAAGTTAACTAAGTAAATTCTTTTGCCTTCGGGCCCTCTCATGGTATTAAGTGACTTTGCATGTAATTTGCTAAAGTCATTGAACAAATGCATTAAAGATAATAATGTGAACATTAAAGTGTAAAGAATATAAGTGGCCACAGGATGTCCCCACTGTTCCGTGCTGATACATCCTCATAGGCTGTTTATGCTGTAGTGCAGAGCTTGACATATTTCTTAAATATGATATTTTGTATTGTAGAGGTTTTCACATTTATTTTCGTATTTCAAATGTTTATGTGGCAGGGCAGCCAATTAACATCTAGACAGAGGTAGAAGGGAAAAAAGGAATTGCTTTGCTTGGTTGCTTTAGGTTATTAGCACCGTGCTGTAAACAACTGAGCTAATCTCATGTTGACCAAGAAAGTGAAGGGGCATACTTATCTGAGGACTTGTCTGAACAATGCTGGTGGTGTCAAATACACTAAAGTGTGAAAGTAAAAGTAATGTTTTTGGGCTATTAGGGTGGCTTACAATGGAAGTGGTTTAATTTAAGGAGAAGTGAGTAATTCTGCAAAATAAATGTATCTAAGTGGGAAGCTGGTGCAGAGAATAGCTACATAAAACTTACACCATGGCCTCTGAATAGTATATGTGTCCCAAAACTCTGTAAGTACTGTATGTGATGGATCAGACTGTGGCTGATACTGCGCAAGGATATATGCCCCATCCCTACAAGTGTTCAAGGCCAGTTTGGACAGGACTTTGCACAACCTGGTCTAGTGGAAGGTGTCCCTGCTCGTGGCAAGGGGAGTTGGAACTAGGTCATCTTTAAGGCCTCTTCCAACCCAAATCATTCTATGATTGTATAAAAAGTATAAAGCATAAGGAGCTCTATGTTAAGGCTGGGACTTCATGTTAAAATGTCCTCCTGAGTTTGTTTTACTAAGACCATGCTGTTACATGTAGGCTGTGGCATCAATGCTTTCCTTAGGAATTCTTTATAGCTACTTTACCTATATCCAGTTGCTTTGGATTTTCAGCAGTTTTGAAAATCACAACATGTGTTTTGAAGTCAGATAGTATTTTAGATGAGAAACAATGACATTTTGGTTAGCCCATTGTGCCTGAAAATTCAAGCAGTGAGGCCTTGTACATTGGATATGAACAGACATAAGTCCACAATTATACCTTTTTACATGCATGTGGCCATTCAGCCTTCTGGGACAGCCTGAAGAGGAAACTCTTCTTTCCTGAGCAGCTTACTGCTTTTGTTTGTCCTTTCTACAGTGCAGGAGCTGTGAATTACGTTTTTGTATCAGTGGCACACTGATACAAGCCTTTTCTTACTGAATTGAATGTTGCAGTGCCAGCAGTATTCTACAGTCTTGTTTATCTGGTAACTTCCAGGCTTGGATTGTCTATCCTATTTCAAATAGCTCTATAGGCCAGACTTGTCTGAATAACTGCAGTAATTGTGCTGCGAACAACAGATGACTGGCATTTCACTAGAGGTGCTTCCTCGGGACTTGGTGAATTTGAACTTGCTTTCTCAAGAACTGCTCTTAGAAGTAAGCTTGGAGTACAGCACTCAACATATAATCTAAGTCTATTCTTGTCCATGAGGACATGCTGCACGAATCTGTATGATTGTATATGCGTTTATTATTGAAAGAGCTTCAGGGGAGACGAATGTTTTCTCTTTTCCAACATGCTATACCTTTTGGGTGTTTTATGTGGAATGGAAGTTAGCTTTTTTGTATCTGTGGTTTTTATGACAGTATTTTTACAGAGGAAGCATATGCTGTCATCCACTTCAGTATGTGCATGATTCCCGCTGGACCTGATTCATACTACTGCTACTGCTGCCTGCTTAGTCATTTGGCTCACTGACATCAGAGGTAGTTTTGCATGAAAGAAAAAACTCTGATGGAGTTGTTAGTGGGGATAACTGTTCAAAACAATGGGACTCTTATGTATCCAGAGGCTGCAAATCTTTACTTGGACCTGTCTTTGAACTCTCGCACTGACTGATGTGAAGGGATCCAGTGATGAAAGCTAATCACCAAGTAGGTAAAACTTTCACAGTGCTTTTGGAACTGAAAGGCTGCAGTTGCAATACAGTGTGTGCAAGCTCCCTGGGAGCTGGGAAGGTGATGCATGGGCAACTGGGCTGTTGAACTCTTGAGCGATCAGGTTTGTAAGGAGCCTGCAGTGCTGCTAATTCAAGAATCCTGTTGTATGAATCTTAGTGCTTTGAAGAGTTAAATGCATTACTAAGTGCACTGCAGCGAAGGAAAATGCTATCCTACAAACAGGGGATTTCTGTGCTTTAATTGAAGCTGTGAACAGTTGCTCTTGAACAATGTGAGGCAGCACATATTGGAGGAATGATTGCCCTTCAGACATAAACTATACAGTATAAGCGTTGTAAGCTTGCTTCAGAAGACTCTTTGTGTCCCCTTGGTTGCTGCCTTTCTTTTTCCTTCTTGCATACACATACCTCCTTGGAATGGGGAATAATTAGTGTAATTTTTTAGTGAGAGAACTAGCTGCCCAGAGGTTATGAATTCTCTCATTTTCTCATTACCTGACAGGAATGAGGCAGGAGATGGAGTTCCTGCCTGGATGGGTTCAGGTTACATTCCCCATCTCATTCTATGGATCTGGCACTGTAAATGGTTAGGAAAAGGCAGCAATAAGAAATGCGGTCTCAGGCCCTCTACCTACAGTATGGCGTGACTCTTTCAGCTCTCTGTGTGTCTGTGTGGCACAGGAATGCAGTGATGCTGTGGTTGGAGTATAGCAGCACCCAGCTTGCTGTGGGAATGGGGATTTGGATGTTGCTGTCTCCGACCTGAAGAAATGTATGCCATGTCCTCAACCAGCTTGATTTTGAGAAAGAAAAACTGGGTGGGAAACACTGTGTGTTCAGGTGATTTGCTTTATGTTAGCTGGTCCAGTCTTGACAAAACCCAGGAGCAGAGACAGATAGAAAGGTGTGTTCATAGCCACATTGTCAGGAAAATAAGCTTTCTTCCAGGAGAGGGCACATTTCCACTAGGTTTGTGCCAGTACAGCTGTGTTGGCAGGCAGAATCCAGCCCCCTGACTGAGAAGGACATTCTGTCTTTGACCTTTCAATCATTCAGTGATGAAACCAGACCTTTCCTGGCAAACTCTGAAATGGTAAAATAGGTGTGACAAGAAGCATTCTTCTAACTGGTAACTAGCTGTGGCTGCCACTTGATACTTACCCAGCATGTGGCCTTACATATTTTTACATGTCGAATTCTGATGTTATGTCAGTGATAGGGAAGCTGGGCAGGGGAGAAGAGAGTACTGTTGAGTGTGAAAATTACCTTATGTTGGAGGGGGAATGGGAAGGAGAGAGGACTTTCATCTTTCAAATGAGGCGAGGGAACAATGTGTTTTAAAGTCCAGAGACTGGCTGTTAAGTTGAACCAGAGGTTGCTTTCCTGTTATTAAACTTCTTTTTTGTTATGCGTGAAGAAGACATTAAATACTTTTGAATTCTAAAAGTGTCCTCACTGTTCTGGGGAGAATTGGATAGAAGTAAGTTAAGAGTTTGTGGGAGTATCTGTCTTTCAAACAAAAATATGCTTTTGTTGATCCCTGGTTTGCATGACCTAGTGGACTCGTTAAGGTTCTCTGCATTGTTCTGCAGAGACTTGATAATAACCTTACACTGTAATTAGCAATTCTTCAAAGAAATACCGAGCTTCAACTAATGTATTACCATTGATGATTTACTTGGTGAACTGATAGCAAAGGTAGACAAATAACTGCCTTTTCCCCCTCATATGCTGCCCATCAGTTACTTAAGCATATTACAGGGAGGTATAAATTGGACCTTTCTTTTTTCAGGTGACATGTCTGACAGCTAGCTGTTTTCTTGTTGCCTCTCACACATTTTCTTTTTTGACAGCAGCAACTCACCTGATAGAGTTGATGTGCTGTTTTTAACACAAGTGTAGTGTCTATTGTTTAGCCAGGAAGTCAGTGATGCATCATCTCTTGAATTTCTGTTAATTTTAAATTCTCATTGCTGCATCCTTCCTTTCTTATACTGTTTTTTTGGGGGGTTGTTTTTGTTTGTTTGGTTGGTTGGTTGGTTTGTTTTTTTTTTACTGTAAGGGTGAGTCACATTCTCATGGAAGTTGTTAAGGATGCAGTTACATTTAAAATGACATTTAAAAACAAATATACATCAGGTCTGTTGCTTAATTGCACGATGATATATAACAATACTTAGTTCATACACATACACAAATGTGCATTGGCAGTTTTAACAGGAGATTCTGCAGGCTTAGTCTTCCTCCCTGGTTATGGTACTTGATGGTAAAAAATACAGCTGTATACTTATGAAAGCCGGCAGAAAAATCTCTTTTACAATAGCAATGGTTATACTCTTACATCCTTATTCCCTGCCATTATCCACTACTGAAAATGGATAATTGAAATTGGAGTCAATGTAAACCACAACAGTCTTCGTGAAAAATAGTTTTAACAATTTTGTCAAGTAGCTTTAAGCTGTGCTTAGGGGTAATATCAGGAAATCTCAGACAATCCTCTACAGAATCTACAGAGGGAATAGCAACCATATTGCAGACTTAATGCAGTGCCTTCAGGAGGTTTTCTGGAGGTAGTGTTTGGACTTAATCTGCACACAGCATTCATGAAGAGAAGCATCCCTGGGTAATACCTTATTTGCATCAGGTATTTCCACTCTTGCCTGAAGGAGCAATGCCTGAACTTTCTTCTGCATGAAACTGAAACTTCAAAACCATGTTGTTGCCAAGTGTGTCTGGTGTATTTATCACTGGAGCATGGCAGTGTCTCTTGAACAAACATCACTATTGTGACGAGATGATTAATGGATGTATCTAAATGTGGTTTCTAAATGTGTCCACTTGGCTGCACTGTAGATTTATAAATATATCCCTCTCCTGGCTTGTTTCTTAAATTAGTACTTCACCTGAAGTTGACGAACT